GATTAACAGGAACAAGTAAAATATGAATCAATCAATTCTTATGAGACATGTGGATCCATCAAAATATGTATTAAACCTAGATCCATTCAACAAACATGTATTTGACATAAGCAAAGAGGAAGAAGATACAACACGAATTCAAACACACAAAGAGTAGGAACACATAACCTCAAGAGCACCAAGGCTCTAGGTACCAAAAATGATGGAACCTCTCAAAGATGATTGTTGTTTCTTCAACTTGAACTGTCCAAGTCCCTTCTTCTCTTGAGGTTCTTCACGTCCATGGAGGATTGAAGGAGATTCAAGCTTCAAAATCTTGAAGATGCAACCTAAAGAGGTTCAGTTTCTCTAAAAGGAGAGAAACTTGAGGAAGAAGAAAATCAAAGACAAGCAAAAATTAAGGCAACAAAGAAAGGCTAGCACACAAAGGAAAACCTATCAATGGATCTATAATGGATTACCAAAATAAAATCTAAGATTACAAAAAAAAACAAGACACAATCTCAATGGTCCTCCATCACCTTTCCATGCTTGTATTTGATGTCTACTCATTGGTGTTGTGGGATGAAAGACTGCCTCTAGATGGATGGGCAGAAGATGTTTGATGTGCCCCTATGTTGGTGGGTAGAGAAGTGGATGGCTGGCAGGATTCCAATGTTGCCCCTGCCACGTGAGTATTGTGATTGTGACACCCTTACTACCCCAACACATATATAAATAAATCTTGTAAATAAACTAAAGAATTAAATTTTCAACGTTCGTAAAAGGGTTCACATAAAACCTTTATAAATAACCAAAATAATTAAAAATGAAATTTAGAAAATAAAACTTGAGAGTTTACAAATTATTTTTAAAAAATAATAAATACAACTCGAAATCCATATAAAAATTCCATATCCTAGAATTTTCTGCCCCGATGTCACAATATCAGAGCACATCCACAACTCAACAATTGGCATTCTAGATGCCACTCAAGGCCAGATCTTCCTCACCTAAAACATCCATAAATTGCAAGCTGAGAAAAGAAAATATCTATATGTAAAGCACATACAAACACACAACAATGTAATCTCATTACGTAATGAAATATTTACCAGCATTTCTATATATCATAACTCTATCAATCATGCATCATCTTCACATCATAATTCGCAATCACACTCATTCATCTCAAATCTTGCAATTAACATTATCATTTTCACATTCATAATTCACACAAATCTTACAATTAACACTATGCCAAGGCCACGTCACAACTGACATAAGTGATACATGTTAATTGTCTCACTCATCCCACACCATGCCAGGGTCACGCCCTCCCTGTAGCATCACTTACCCAGGGGTCGTGCCATCCCTGGTCATTGATGTGAGGAACCATAATCACATCACAATCCACACAAATCTTGCAATTAACCCTATGCCAAGGTCACGCTTGTAGCATCTCTTGCTCGAGGTCGTGTCACCCCCGACATAAACATTAATTGCCTCACACATCCCACTCTATGCCAAGGTCACGCCTGTAGCATCTCTTGCCCAAGGTCATGCCACCCCCGACATAAGCATGAGAAATCACACTCCTACACTGTGCCAAGGTCACGCCTACAACATCTCTTGCTTGAGGTCGTGCCACCCCCGACATAAGCATGAGGAATCACCCATCCCATACTATGCCAAGGTCACGCCTGTAGCATCTCTTACCTAAGGTCGTGCCACCCCTGGTCATAAGTGTGAGGAACCACAATCACATTCATATTCACATCTACATCCACATCCACATCCACATCCACATCTCAATTCCACAATACATACATAATCCACACAAAATAGTGGTTCACATACCCCTCAAGTAATTCACCATGAATCCTCATCTAGATCATCAATTTTACCAAATCATGTAATAATAATATTTATAAATTAATATAAAACCAGATTAAATTGCCAATTTAATATAATCTTAACCCAAACAATAAAACCCCCAATTTTTCCAAAACCTAACTCACAGGCAGTTTTCTACGATTTCGTTCTCTCTCCCAGATCATCATTTGTACAAACTAATCATATATTCATAATCCTTAACACATACAGAATCTAAAGGGGTCATCAATTTCTCAAACAGAATTAATTATAAAATTACCCATAATCTTAAGGGACTCTTCCTCTACCCAATTCCCTCATGTAACTCTACATACAAATAATCACTTTTTCCCCTGTACCTGGATAAACAACAGTTGAAACTAAAACAAAGATCTCTTGGTCTCTTCCTCTAAGTGCCCCTCGGTCTTCAGAGAGTATAAAAGGGAAAGAAGAGAATATAGAAGAAAGAAGTCAGAACTGAAAAATATGATTTTGGGAGTGCTAGAGCACTCAATTTATAGGCATCAGGATTCGCAGAACGACCCATTTCAAATCCAGAATGACCCGTTCTGAAATCTCACGTCATGTATAAAATTCACATCCATAACGACCCGTTCTCAAACCAGAACGGCCCGTTCTAGGGTTGCAATTAAACCCATGACGACCATATTTGGAATGGCCCGTTCTAATCTCTGGAACGACACGTTCTCATCTTTGGAACGCCCCGTTCTAATCTAGGTTTATAGGCCATTTTGGTGGTTTAGAACGGTCCGTTCCAGTTTGGGAACGGCCCGTTCTGGGCTACCAAAAATAGGTCTTTTTAGTAGTTTGGAACAGCTTGTTCTAATTTAGGAACAACCCGTTCTGGGCTACTAAATCACCCCCTAAAAATTACTAAATTACCCTTAATAAAAATATAAAAATTGGGGTGTTACAGTGATGCCTCTCCAGGCACCTTCTTGTGGTAGTTTTTTTTTTTAATTTTGTATCTTTGTTTAGCTTCGGCTTTTTCATATTTGAAGCTTGCCTTTTTCCAATTTATCTTTTGTTGTCATCATTGGTGGAGGGATCCCATCCCATGATGATGTTATTTGCTCAATCTTTATTGATGAGTATTATTTTGGAAGCCACTCCTAGCTTTGGTTAGGAAGTCATTCCTGGCTTTGGTTAGGAAGTCATTCCTGGTCTTGGCAGTTTTTGGATCATCCTTCATTTAGTTGAGGAGTAAGGCGCGATGGCCTTTTCATGCTTACAAACTTGCTTGTTTGGTCGATTCTATTCTATTCCACTATTGATATGACTTTGCTTAGTGGGCACATAGAATCACTTGGGGTTGTCGTTTGCTACTGCTTGGCTCATGGTTGGCTATTTAGTTTGTGCTTCATCCTGATGACTCCTTTTGACCCATAGCAAGCAGAATGCATGGATGCATGGATGCAATGAAAATGCAAGACAAAAGTGATTTTATTATTATTATTATTTTATTTATTCTTTTTTTTTTGTGTAATGCCCTTCCATATGCCCCTACCTCATATGCATGCGATGCAGTTTATGCTCATGTGTTTGTTCCTAAACATGCAATTCAATTCTTTTGTTGGGAAATTAACCTGTGGCGTTAAGGTTAAAGTTGACGATTTCTTTTTATCCATGCCATTTGTGATTATCGCCGAGATATATTCTTTTGAACTCAAGGTTTCAGTGGCTCCTTGATTATCTAGTCGATGTATAGTCAAGCGTCTTCAAACTCCTTTCGAGGACGTCTCGGCCTTCCCTCTGCGAGTATTCACTGTGCATTTTTCGTGTATCTTTTTGGTTCCATTTTAATGCTATAAGGGTCAAGAGAAATGAAGAAAAGGGATGTTTGTATTTTTTCAAAAGGTTGTTAGAAGGGATTTTTTTCAAAAGGGGTTTTTAGAAGAATGGCTGGCTAAGGTGGGCTTTAGTGTTTATGGCTATTAAACAAAACATATTTGCTACAAAGAAGCTATCGTTGTGTTTAGCCTTTTTGGAAAGTGAAGTGATGACTCGGGGTCGTACTCTGATTGGATGATTCCTCTGAGTCGCCTTTCAGTTTTCAACTCAGGTTGCTGCTTTAACATTTTAACTTTTGCCTAGGTCACTTGAGATGTGTTCCCTAGCGGACATTTTTCTTTTGATCTTTTCTTTTTCCTAGGTTACCCATTTTTACTTGTGGGTTGCCTAGCAGATCTTGCCCTAACTTTTGCGCAGCCCCCTTAGTGGGTTTCCTGCCAGGCCTTAATTTTTTGCAGCGCTCATGAGGTATGAGATGTCTTTATTTTTATTAAGCCCTAGTCATGTTTGAATTCCTGATTGTTCCTTTGTTATCCTTTCCATGCTATTATTGAGTAACATCTTTGTCGCAAATACATTTTGTTTGTTAAGGGTTGATGGATGAGGCCTAGAGTGAATATTTAGAGGGAGAAGAGAAACGAAAGAGTGTTATGGCATTTAAAATAGTACTTTCCTCGAAGGCCCGGGCATGTCTCGAGTTCGTGATTCATACACAGAGATATAGACGGAGGTTGCCCCCCAGAGAGTCATGGATGATTTGATAATTTCAAAAAAACTGTTCGAGTTTCTTGAATGTCGGTGTTTTAAATTTGGATTGAAACCTTTATGAATTCTTGCTTTCGAAGGGAATACTCAAGCCACCTTTCGATTCCAACTTAGATAGACATTTCTTATTTTTATATGTCCTTAACTTTTGCATAGGACGTATCCTATTGGGATTTTGATTCTTTTTTCTTCACCCTAATTTTTTCCTAGGACGCCCTTTACGGGTTTGCGTCCTAGCGAGTTTTGCAATGCCTTTATTCTTCAATTGGGTTTTTTTGTAATTCCCTAGAAGCAAGGATTCATTCATTCTGGATCATTCCTCCTATCCGAACAGTTGTCATTTCCGCATGAGAAATTCTCGGTGTTTGAATCGTCAATTTGGGCGTGTTATGCCTTTGTCTTCGAAACTGATGGAGGTTGAATTCATAATTATATTATATAGCAAAAACTAATATATTTGCACATCAATATCATTATTATTTTGACCAGGTTTGACGTAACTTTTTAATCATCTTTACTCAACTCTTACAAATTTGGTTGACAATTATTTTTTCATCATATTTTTATTGCCAGTAAATTAATGTTATATAAAATAGTTTTAATGTCTATCAATCTATATTTTCTTATATCAAAAAACTTAACAGGAATCATACCCTTTTGATGGGGTAGGCATAGAAGTTCCTGCCACTCCGTGAGGTTTTGACTTCGCAAGCGCCATGGCCACAACGACATTGTTTGGTGTCGGAGGAAACTGGGGAATCGGGCTTGGGCTCACAGTCGTGATTTGTTCGCTGAGTTATAGCATGAAATTCATGTCACTGGGGCTGTATCTCAAATTCAATAGATACTTGAAAAATTATAATCAACAATGTTATGTACATTTAAGTTCCAAATGCGTAAAATAATTAAATTATAGAAACAAATACTTGAAAATTAAACATCAAAGCGGGAGTAGAGGTTGCACTTGAGATATTTTCCGTCAATCTCGCCGCGCCTGAAAAATAGAAGAAACAGCAATAGAATTACTCAATTTTGGGAAACACCCCAAGGTTGTATACCTGAATTATAAAAATAAAAAATAAAAACAAGGGAATGAATAGCCTACTGTTCATACCTTCCACCCTTTGCCATCTCGCGGTGTTTTGACAGGCCTTTTTCCCAATTCAGGAACAGGCGGAAGATAACCTGATGGGTTCCTTCTCCATGAAATGATGTAGAGATGAAGGAGAGGAAGCCTTGCCCTTGATCTAGGTTCAACAAGGTGGACAAAAGGAGGATATATGGTGAATGAAAGGAAGTTGGCGTGAAATGATGGTGTTTGGGCGGAAACACTTAGGGTGGAGGTGTTTGGGTGCTCAAAGTTGGCTCACTCCAAGGTAGGTGGAGGCCACTCTAGGTTTCCTACTCTCCAAGGGTGGAGATAGGAGGAGGCTAGCCGAAACTATCCTAGGGACTAAGGATGGATTTTGAGGCACAAAAGGCTCACTCAATATCATATAATCCAAAGT